TAGCAATTTTTTCCTCGGCAAGCAATGTGCTCCGCGACTTGAGAACATAGTTCCTTATATTTTTGTAATTTGCAGTGGTTTCCGCGCCTAAAAAAATTCTTTAAAGGTATTTTCTTGTTTATTAAGATCGTAGGAATGTTTTAAAAACGTTTAAAAGAAAAGTCCAAAAAGTTCAGAAATACCGAACAGAGAACATAAACTATAAACACAAAATGACAGGTTAAATCGTAATTATAATAGTCAATCAGCTGCTCATAGTATTATTATCTTTAAGTGTTGCCAACCTATTTCCAAGCGTACACAGATTACGTGCATAATAGAACCACGCTGTTTTGTGTTGTTTTGTTGGAATCCTGATGTGCGGCAAAGTATAAACCGTACGGCAAAGTATAAATATGCAGCAATCAGCAGCTTTCTGTACTATAAACAGTACAAGGAAGCCAACTTTGTCGGGTGACTGTAGGAAAAGGTTATTTAATTTGTATTTAGATGTGATGACTTAAAAATCTGTTTGGTATAAAATAGGCTACTTGTATACATAAAATAATCATAAAATATACACTTTGGTTTTAGTTTTTTAACTGTGTGTCAATTTGTAAAAATTATCACATTTTTTAAATCCAATTAAACAAACCTTTTAGTTTATGACATGTGATTGCTCAGCTTGTTTTACCACGAATTGTGACCAACATTAACACAATGTTTAAAATGGCTCGTTTGTTATTTTATCATAAAAAATTTCCATTCTTAAAACCACTTGTTCAAACACTTCTGTAAATGATAAAACTAATTAAAAGAAACATGTTGCAGAGAAAAAGTTGTCCAGGAAGAAAACTGGATTGTAACTGAGTTTCTAAAATACTGTATTTAAAAAACAGAAAGACAAATAGAACGTGCTAAGTAAGATAATGAAAAAAAAATAATGGAAACAAATTATATATAAAAAAAAAAAAAAACATAAATGACAAGAGTTTCTTTTTCCTGTTCAAATATAGGTAGGCCTAAAAGAGAAAAAAATCAATGGATTCAACGGTGTAACAAAGAAATTTCCTAACCTACATTTATTGTTCCCACAAAGGCACTTGTACGGTAAAAAAATTCATATGTAAACATTTACCTTTTTAATCTACAATTTCCTTTCTGATAGGCTATTCCTTCCTCCGATGATTAGCTATTCCTTTTACTTTTGAAGGTAAGGCACTTCTTCTATGTTACAATATAGGTTTCAACCCAATATAAAGATAAATAAAATGGTAAAAATAATTTGTAACACATTACACCAAAGTAATAGTAGGTAATCAGTTAGTTATAGCCTAGTAATATTTTTTGATAATTGTTGGGTCATTGTTAATACACATATGGTTTGAACGAAGGTGAAGATTTGAATGAGAATGAACTAAATCCAGTTTTCTTCCTTGAGAAAATCAAACAACGCTTAGAGAAAAAAAAGCACACGATTACTAGAAAAATACCGGTATGGATCATTAACATAAACAAATGACGTTGTTGGCCCGAATCCTATACTAATAGCATTGAACATATGTTTTGGCAGTTCCATTTAAGCAATGTTAAATAATGTTTATTTTCGGGCCAAAAACGTCATTTGTTTATGTTTATGATCCATACCGGTATTTTTCTGGTAATCGTGGAATAATATAATTATAAATATTTTAAATGCAGACTTAAGTCAAGTTTCATTATTATTCATTACATTCCATTCCAGAACACAGCATAATACAGACCTGACCAATATATCTAGCACCCCTACCTGACATCACCACCTAACAAAATCTATATATTTAATTTATATAGCATACTACAAACCTAATCAAGCTACGCAACAAATATATAATCTCTACCAGCAACAAATCAGATCCAAGCACCACTCACTTTCTCAGACAATAGCATTATGATTATATGGCATTATATTGTGCTACAGGACAAATTAATATGGCTGAAAAACGGTTCACCAACTTTAATTGATTATCTTATCCTAAGCAGTAGGAAAAAATAATACATAGAATGTTAAGAAAAACTGATTGGGAAAATTGTAAAAATAAATATATCAAGGAGAAAATAAATGTCATCAAAATAAATTATGGGACAAGTTCAACAACCTGCTACAACACTGTCAAAACTTAAATTTCTTTAACTTTTCCATTTAGGTTGATTATTATGCAAATTTTGGAGTAAAAAACTATTTTATTTAATGAAATTACAGTATAACTATAGACAAATCAAATAAATATAGACCGACAGCAGTGCTGCGGTAAGCATATGTTCTGGTGTCCATCGCTAGGAGTGCCGTGTAGTTACGGCGCACACTGCTGCAGTGTCTGCTGGTAGCATATGGCTCCTCGCCTGCAGCGGTGTGCGCTGTAACTACACGGCACTCCTAGCGGCACATGGTGGAACCTTCCTTTGACAATCTATATGTATTCTATTTGTCTATAATTAGACTATTCACTTTCAAAAGAATTTTGGAACTTCCTTATTATTCCTTATTATTTAATTCTTTATTGGTTTCAATCGTATTTAGAGTCTTAACAATTGGAAATCAAGTAATCAAACAATTAGTAATTAAGTAATTGAAGAAATCAAGTAATTAGTAATCAAACAATGTTTTTTGTGGTTGTGATATATTATTAAGGTGTTAAATACACTATTTAGGGAAAGATTTTATTATTTATTTTTACCTTCTGGGGGGGAAGCAGCATGTACAATAGAAATAAGAATGTACTATACAAAACAATAAAACATTGTAATAGTTGCATCATTCCTACTTGTCCGGGTTGACTATAGGTGCATGTTATAGACAACAAAACACTAACTGTCAATAATACAATTAAAAGTATCTGCCCTATAAATGTGTAAAGGCGATGTAATAAAAGTTAATATTTGGTACTGTGATGCAAAGAAAATAATTATTTCTACATCCATAAATATATTATATCATAAGGTTCTTATGCTAATTCGTAACAACTATTATACAACAATAAAAAGCATTGATAATACTGTATAATACTGTTTGTGCGTAGCAAAAAATAACATTAAGTGTAAAACATAACTGACAATTAAAACTAATAATTGTTTGTGTTTAATTTGAGCTTCAATATGATATTTGATACGCCAAAGACAAATTAAGTATAATTTTCATTCCAGAAATCTGAACAGAGTTTGCAAAAAAAAAAACAACTATTCTACAAATTTAATTTAACCAAACAGAATAATTTTCAAAGAACATTTCAGTTTATTTAAAATTACTATATGACGATTCTAGTGAAGTGTTCGTACAAGCACAGAACAAGATTTCAACGGATATAATGACTAGATTCAATTAAACTTAGATTCTAACAACAAAAAGCTGATAGTGAAAACAACTATTTTCAACATCAATGAAAATACTTCGAAAATGAAAATACCAATTATAAAATTACGATGCAATAAAAAGTAAAATAATGCACAAATATTTCAACAACCTTACCTTACTACTAAAGTATTTTAAAATAATAGCGATAAATACCACATGAAATTATTTGGTTTATGGTGTTAAGTAAATCTAAATAATATGATATAAATCAGATAAAAAGTTTAAGTACAAACCTAACTAGATTCGGTGGACAAAGTATAAGTGTTGTATAAAATAGAACCTCAAATAAATAGCGTTGTCTATATAACTAAACAGCCTTATGTTTTAGTAGACCAAATTAACTTTAATTTGCATTGAGTCATACGAATATTTACAAACTATCCATGAAACTACTGTAAGATTTACTGTAAGACACATCAACCAAGGCTTATGTAGTACATATTTTCAAAATATAGTGATGCGAAGGGGTTGTTTAACCCCCTTATGTCGTAAGACACTTACAATGTAAAGTAAACTGGATTTATTTCCAAGCAAACTACTTAGGGTTAAGCTACTTTTTGTTTTAGTATCATCACCAACATTTTCAAATAATATAGCTTGAATGAATATTATTGAGTTGGTTGCACTATAGAAACTGTTTTGAAAGTTCAATTTAATCCAAATATAAAACTGAATTTATTAAAACAAAACAACTAGCTTCTCTCGTTGGTCCCCTTGTATAATCCTCATAAATAAAAAAGTGGGAGAAAAGAGAATAACAATTCATACCCTAAGCAGACTTTTAAATCATTATCTGACAAGGTCAATTCAAAAGAACTCGATAATAATATTTTAAAGGGAAACCTGGATCCCAATTGATCTATCGTTACTAAAATGCAAGGCTTAAAAACCACCTGGTTTTTTGGAATTTACAAACATGACATTGTAAACAAATTGATCAAATAACTTTATAATTCATAAGCGTTATCATTTGAGGACTAACTACAAAACTATCATTTAACTTATGACCAAATGGAAGCAATTTCTTAGGAGCAAAGTGAAAATTCAGCCTTTGAAAACAACCAAATAATAAATGCTTTTCAGGAATGTACTTAACACAAATAAATGCTACAAATAAATCGTTGACATGAACAATTTTTAAAGAAATGCAATTATAGTTTTAAAAACTAGGCTTCGATCTCAAACTCGTAAAAATTTTACAAAGGGAAAACCCAATTAAATAGAGTAATATTATTACTTATAACTATCTTAAATACTTAACTAAATTAACGCTGATAATATTTATGTAGACATTATCCATCACACATCTCAAATTGCACTTTCTTTCCTCAGTTGACATGATTGACATCCTTAAAATCTAAATGACACTGCTAAACATCCATTAAATATATGTTTTTTTGGAAAGATAAATATAAACTTTGGATAAAACCTTAAGGTTGTACAAAAGAGAAAAAAAGTTGACTCAAAAGCCAATTTCATTATTAGAACCATGTCAAAACAAATTTTCAGGTTTTAGATTCACACAAAATACGACTCAATTTACATTCAAATGAGAAAAATCCAAAATGTGATTTAATATTTTATTACCTTTATTTTTTTCAACTAGGAATAATTTGCATAAAGACAAAAATGAACAACCTTCAGGATTCATTTTACACGTTCTTAAACAACTATCTAAATAAAGGTAGAGCACTAACAAGATAAACGATTGTTGAACATACTTTGGAAGCGTAAAAAAGTGCCTACTAAAGCCTTAATGATGGTGAAGAAATAATGAAGGTTTATTAAGAAAAGAACAAAGGAATAACTAGTTTTGTTTTAACTTAGCCTTCCACAGATAACTAAGATTGTTAAAACTGCTCTTAACACTTGACACAAACTGTGTATATTTCAGGCCCCTGATTGCTATTTTAATGTTGGAAGAAATTAGATTTTAGTTAACCTTTTTTAATTTAGTCTGTTATAAAACTAACCTTATGATCACTGATCACCGATCAGAAAATGCTACAGGAAAATTGTCTGTAAAATTAAAATTTGAAACTGATTTTTATTATTATATTCAAAAGAAAACCAAGTATCTGATTCTGCTAGCTTATTTGAGAGTTTGAGTGCAGGTTCAGAAATCAGAACGTGGTACTGCAAATTCAGAACTTCCATCTACAACTTTGATTGATAAGATTATTCAGTCCACTCGCTGAGGGAGTATATTAGGACAAAATAACAATGTAACGTTATGTGATCTTTAATTGTGTATCAATTATTTTGTGGACTTTAACTTTCTCGGCTAAGCTAGCTGAATTATCTATTTTAAAAATTCAAATTAAAAACTCCTAAAACTATTTTTAAGCACTTTCTATAAATAAACGGAATTACTAAGCTATAGTAGGCACTTTGTTAACTTAAACTCAGTAAACTCTTCAGATTCTTCAGAAGATCCTCGCTTTTCCAAATCAGATTGAAAATCCCATTTAAAAGTAAACCAAAAACATCTGATCCTCAGAGTTATTCAGATCTTTAACTCTGCATCCATCCGTCTAATCCGGTGGTGGGAACAAGTAGAGCAGTATCATGGAGATTACGAGCAACGCAACACACAGCAGTGTAGAGAGAGTGGTGGGGGGAGGTGGTGGTGTCTCGGCGACGGACAGCAGGTAGTGTACTGTGCGCGACAGTTCTAACAATCCGCCACCTTCCACGACGTCGTCTCGACTACACAATGCCGCCTGCAACCAACACAGGCGTTAGTGACACTCCACCACTCCCCACCACACCTCCACACCACCGTCTAGGCTATGTACAGTCAACACACAAAGTATACATGTACAGTCAACACGCAATATACCAGACATTTTAACTACGGGTCTAGGGGCACGCTCTTCTTCCTTTGGGTCAAAATTATTATTCTTTGGGTCTAAGGCTAAAATGAAATTGCATTGGAAGTTGTTTTTTAAATATAAGCCTAATTGTAATACTGAAAATTGGGTCTACAAAACTACTTCAATACTTTTGGGTCATATGCCAAAATAATGTTGCTTAGGAAAGTATTACTGTTTTTCATTATTAATTAATTTAATAACTATAACTCAGTTTTTTTTTACAATATTGAACATTATCTCCAGCAAATCACGGTGAAATCATGAACATTTTCTACATTAATGGAAAAAATGTGAACATCTTTTAGGGTCACAGCACAGTTGTAAATTTCTTCCAAGCTGCAGTGAAATTAAGAACGTATTTTGATTTCATGGCTATGTCACACCTACATCCGCCGCGGGAGTACCCCGCGCGGACTACTTTGAGCCATGTCACACCAAAAGTACCGTGTCCGCGGCGGTAGTTTTGATGTGTTTTCATAACAATTCGTTTATGATAACACAACATAAGAACACATCCTATTATCCTATTTAGTAAGCCGGGGGGGGGGGGGGGGGGTGTAAGTTAGATCCCCTTAGGTATTGTTGGCCTAATGTCATCAATGACCTGCAGTTTCCAGATGGCTACAAAAACTTTAAGAATTATAAGGAATTCAATACTAAACCAAAAAGGAACAGCATAATTATGTGTGGTAATACTGGTAATAGGATTGTTTATGTCATAAAGTTAAATTAAGTTACGTGAAACATCCCCAGCTTTCATTTCTGAATGATCACTACTGCTTGAAAAAGAAAGATTTATTCCTCATTTCTCACTATGTCCTCCAAACACACTTTGATCGTGTCCAATATTTTGTTGCTGTTATATCAATGACTATAGCAAGCTATAACCCTAATCAATCTACTCTAACTCTAGACTAATTCAATCGTATCAAACCAAATAGCTGACCTTAGCAAACCTTAGTGACAGCTGATGGTTTTTAGCAAGAGAATATGGAAGCAATTTTTATTTTTGGAAATAAATAATGGTAAACAATAAATAAACTTTATTTGTACATGAATTATCTTAAAAAGTGGTTCAGTATGACAAGAAGAAGTTGACCACATGGGCCAAAAGTGTATATTCGGCCCTCACTCATATTACCACTGAGACGAAACAAAAGTCTTTCAACTATTGCCATGTCGAAATGAGCTCATGTCAAAATTAAGTATACTTAGCTCGTTTTCTGATGAATTTTCTAATAATATTTTGTAAACAAATTTGTTATTAAAAGTATTTTCTTAAAAATAAAGTAAATCTTGACTGAGAAAAAAACTCACCTCTTCAACTCCAATCCTCCGACAGGCTTCTAGGAAATTGTCAACGTTTCGGCGACATCTTGGAGTAGTTAGTTTAGGCTAAAATAAACAAAAAAAGTTAAAATCTGCAAAAAATTGGACTATTTTATACTAAACAATAATAATGCTACGATACATTGTCATTGACATTAGATACCAAGATTTCTCATTACGTAACTAAGTATACAATGCTGTTATCTGCTATGTAACAATGTTGGGCAGTGAAATCATATTAATCCAATACTTTTGAGAAATGTATCTCAAATTGATTGTTTCCAATAGACTCGGGTTCACATAAATTGGATATCTACTTGCAGTATCTTAAGTAAATTGTACATAGGCTCTAATTGGTTACTTATTTTGTTGTATATTATGCTAAACGGTATTTATCCGATTACTCTTTCCTTGTTCCTTGTTTTGTTCTGTATTTGTAATGTGCTTGTTAATAAACATATGTTACGACTGACTCTTTATTTACGTTTTTAGTTGGTATCGTTAAAATGCAATACCGTCATGGCCACCAATCAACACATAACACCCACGTTAAATTTCTAAATGTTTAAAATGTTTAAATTTATGGAGGATAAAACTCTGTCTAATTTGTACAATTTCAGATTTATACTTTCTCAAAGTCGGTTACTGTGAATGTGCTAAATTTGGTCCCAATTGCTTCAGCCGTTCAAGAGGAGGTATTTGTAAAACAAAAGCAGAAATGTAGTGTAAGAGCTTCGCTCAGTTAACATCTGAAGCAGGTTGTGATATCCTAAGTTATGTGCTGCTATGTATGAGTTAATTGTATCTCTCTTGTTTAGGAAAGATATATTCAGATTAAGATATTATTGTTATAGAAAAATTTAAAATGCATACTGAAATGTTATGTTCCAAGGGATGGTACAAGTTCTACCCATAGCTTTAAGTTTGGGGAGAGTTGGAGAATCAGTCGGTAGCGCCGAGATAGCTATGTTGAGGGTTCGGAACCTGGTACCTGCCATTAGTATTTATCAGTACATTTCACCCTCGTACTGTACCGGCTCCCCCCTAGCTTTCCAGAATGCTTTCTGTGGCCTATATGGACGGGCAAACACAAGGTAAAAATGCCACCAAACTCTTATTGAAAAAATTAGGAAAGAAAACCTACCCTAAGTGCAAACTACCATATTTTGTATACTACCCTATTAATGAGACAAAAATACTGATGAAAATTATTAACTCACAACAGCAGGAGAAGGAACATGGATGCTAGCCACAGATCTAGGTCTGACATGGTTGGCTAGATGACACAAGACCACTCCATCACTAAGAGCTGGTGCTAGGTCTGCTGGTAGTGTCATCTTCAGTCTGGTCTCTATGTTCTGTCAACAACATCAGTATATTAGTGTAACATGGATGCTAGCCCATGGTGGGCACTAAGTAGAATAATAGCAAAAGAAGAAAAGAAAATAGCAATAGTGTCAGATTTAAAAGGACTGGTGCTTGAAGGGAGAATATAAGGTCCAGTTGGATCAGTGATAACATAAATATCAATCCACCTGTAAACAATGACTAGGTGTGCGGCCTCAGGTCCGCCGATTAAGCGGAGTGAACAAAATAGTTAACAAACAATAATTTATTCTTAATAAAATTTAAATAAAAAAATAAACTACAAAATAAAAACTGAAAAAAACTTTAATGGTCAATGCAATACGAGTAGATCACCTAACGTCCATTTACTGTTTGTTTATGCCTGTAACTGGCTGGCCAAAAATGGCTCAGTTAGCAATTCCTTGATATAGTTCGGCCGCTTAGAAAACGACCTGCGCGCTAATGCTAAACCAATGCTGGAGGAGGTCGCTTTCTAAGCGGCCGAACTATAGTTCCTGTTTTGATTACCTCACATACATTTTGATTGCATAATTGCAATCACAGCTGATAATTTAGTACAGCTGATTCCAAACTCTTGTCATAATTCATATGTATATAAATCAATATAATTTTCCATGCTATTAAAAATATTGGTACTTTCCTGTTAAAGGGAACATTCATTATTATCGATATTTTTTTTCGATATATCGATATTTTTGTTTCCGATCAGATCTATTACAAATTGACAACAACAACCAACTGATCTTGTTTAGGCTAAAATAGTCTATATGGATTAAGAAATGAAACTGGTCTAAGCTAACCTAACATAACCAACCAAACTTGCTGTACCATTTAAAACTTCCGTTTGGGTTTGATAATAGAAAAGGCAAGTTAAACACAGCATTTTTAAATGTTACAGCAAGTTTGGTTAGTTATGTTAGGTTATGTTTTTTTTAGAACAGTTTCATATACTGAACAATATTTATCGTAGTTGTCAGCTGATATGTTTCAATTTGTTAATATCGATATATCGAAAAAAATCATCGATAATAATGAATGTTCCCTTTAACAGGAAAGTACCAAAATATTTAATCAACACAAGCGCACATTTCCACCATGAATCATGCCTCAAAACCAGTATCTATTTACAGTCAAAAGTAAAAAAACTGTTTTCAATAGCCTATTAATTTCTAGCTTTGGATAACAATTTGCTAGTTGCCTAGTAAGTTAAAACAGCTGATTTAAATTATTTTTTTTTGTTCTAGTTGGGATTAAATAAATAAAATCAGCACGGTAGTGTACCTCAAATACAGTGGTTTTTCCAAATGCCCTGTAATACTTTCTATGTATTCTTTGATCAATGGTTTTCACCTGAGTGATTTTCCTTTGTGCTGTATTTAGATCGTATAATAGGTTGCTAATAAGCATATGGTATGATTCTTTGTTTACATCCACATTGTTATCACGTAAGCATATAGCAACTCATAAGGCTAATGCTAAAAAAAGTTAGTTTTAAATTAAAAAGACATTACCAAATTGAAATCTATTTTTATTTTAACATGAACACTGTTTGTTGAAACAACCCTGGAAAGTTTGGAATATGTTCAGCTGTTATTGAGTTAATTGATTACATAGTTGGCATAAGGTCCGATCCCAAAGAGCTTTGCTCAATAAAGCAGGTTTGTTTGCGAGTTAACTTGCACTATTAAAAAAGGTTCAAATACCTGCTATTAAGCAATCCAAATTTGTTGTTAGAACAACTTGTTTCGGTGTCTGTGTGACACCATCATCAGGCTGCACAAGGACAGTTTTCTTTCTTCATACGAAGAGCGTCATATTTACACGAAAATAAATAAACATTTACAGACGACACAAACACGAACACGAGACATTTATGGTAACTGATCAGTTAAGAAAACAGACGACCATAAATGTCTCGTGTTCGTGTTTGTGTCGTCTGTAAATGTTTATTTATTTTCGTGTAAATATGACGCTCTTCGTATGAAGAAAGAAAACTGTCCTTGTGCAGCCTGATGATGGTGTCACACAGACACCGAAACTAGTTGTTCTAACAACAAATTTGGATTGCTTAATAGCAGGTATTTGAACCTTTTTTTAATATTATTTGGCAATCCGGAGGCTAACAACTACAATGAAGTTAACTTGCACATTGATCTTGTGTTTGGTTTATTGGAATTTCTTCTGTAGGATTTGATATATCACTGGCAGAGGGAACACTACAAACCAGAGAAAGTTTTCCTGGGATACCCCATCCTCTTATATGTTCTAGATTACTGACATTACAGTTTATGGTGTTCATTTGTGTGATCTGCCAGGCTAGATGTCATGGGCTCCAATGACTAGATCGGACTTTCTATTCTGTTAAGAAAGGGCATATTTACAAGAAAACAGAGACAATAGAGAATTAACAGTGGACTTGAAATACGATAACTAATAATGACTTACAGTTCTCAGTTGTTGTATCAGCTCCGCCTCCTCCTTTGCCTTCTCAAACTCGCGTCGCATGGTGAAGCTCAGCTTGTCTGGAGGGATGTTGCGGTTCCACGCTGCGGGGCGAGGTGGAGGGGGTGTGGTGCCGACGTAACCTAGACTGGTAGTCAGCAGTTGGGGTGCTGAAGGCTTAACATAGGCAGTGCAACCATTCACACCAGCATGATTGTCCTATAAAAAGAATAAATTATTTTAATTAAAAATTTAGAAATAATAGACATTTTCAGGCACAGTTGATTATTGAACAATTGTTTTGAATATCTACAACCTTTTTTTAAGTGGTGTGTCGTTCAGCTTGACTTTGAGAAAACAAGGGAATAAACTATATCTTTTTCAATTTTCGCCATAACTATTGAACGTACAAAAATGATTCAATGTACTAATTTTTTTAAGCTCTAAAAAAATTTCAGAGAAATTGCAAAATTTAATCCTTTGGAAAAAATTTAAAACCCTATTTTTAACCCCATTAAACACCGTTTTCATGGTCGAATCATGCTGGTTTGCGAACTTGATCAAATAAATTTGTGTTTACATGTTTGTACCAATTTTCAAGAAAAATGATTAAATTAAAAAAGTTGTTATCGGACATTAGATATATGAACGTGTTTTTTTGAATCATCAAAACGAAGAAGTAAATTGGTGCCAGTCCTAGGGCTATTTCTTACTACAAGACCTACGTTAATAGCTCATTTCCTTTATGGAGATAATTCACCAAAAAGAGTTGGTACCGCTACGGTCTGATCCTCGTACATTACCTGCACTCCAGGTGGTGGTGGGGGAGGGGTATAGTTGAGGTTGCGAGATGGAATGACTTTCTGTACAGGACGTTTGTTGACCTCATGGCCTGGGCTAGGACTGCTGTCCGTCTTGTGACCAGGGGAATCAGAGTCCTACAAATGGACATCCATGGTTATCTAACATTCATTGTTGAATTTGTACATCCAGACAAAGATTATTGTTGTAAACACACTTTACTTTTGATGTCAGGGTACTTGTAACAACTTTAACTATTTTTAAAATGTGATGTAAAAATTAAGGCAAAAAATTTAAAAAAAATTGATGTATGAAAACAACATTTTTAGCTAAGTTAGCTAGCGTTTTCATAATTCATCACATTTTCAGAACAAGCATTCTTAATTATTGCCAACAAGGTTCTTGCTAGTCATGGTTTTGTAAACGTTCAGACTTCATTTTTAAATTCCCTTTCAACAAAGTCATACTCTAAGTGTTCTTTATTACAGTAGAACCTCGATAGCAAGACCCTCATAAGGATTATTAAGACTTGTTATTAAGGTTGACTTATTATCGAGGTTTGCAACAACATGTGATTAGGAATAAAATAAACTCTAGGGGATTTTAAAATGACACTTGATATCCAGGGTGGCTCGTTATCGAGGTCCCCACAATATAATTTTACGATTTATCTTTAAATTTTTAATCATTACTGTACCTCAATTCTTTCAAGGTCAAACATTTCAGTTTTGTTTTTACACTTTATATTACACTCGATATCGTCACAGACATTTTATTTTTATTTTTTAGATATTAATAACTTAGGCATTTGAGGTTTAGTTTATATTCCACTGTTTATTCATAAAATTCTAGAACTACTTTAAAATCTATGAATGCTAGTCAGGACATAAATTGATAGAAAAGTGACTCTAGACCTCGTACACATAATCAACATTAGACGCATTCTTGTTATTCAATTAAACAACCTGAACACAAAACAAAGTTTTGAATGCTTGGTTTGAAGATGACCACTTGTGAGATACTTAATACTTACTTTAATACTTTCTTATGAAATGGCGACCATACAATGTAGGTATTTTAAGCCAAGTATGAATGACTTACATTGACATGATTGTTCACATGTTGGTAGGTGGGGGAGGGTGTATGGTCTTCTGAACTGGTGTTTCTACTTTTGTAAATATTATCTGCAGCCCTCTGTGCTCTGAGTGCTTCTTTGTACTCCCTACGACAAAACATGTGTTAACTCAACAACGCTGATTTTAAATGCAAATATGTAAAAGTTTAACTTTACTTTTCAAATGTATCATTTAGTGATGTCAGGTCCTTATTAAATTACGAGACAATAATGGTTTCGGACCAAAATTAATTTTCGGTTCTCGGCACTCAATGAAATGGTACTAATTTGTTTTTTAATAGGTTGTATTTAAGCAAGATCGTAGGCATTGATCACATATGTTGCTGTGACTGCTTTTCTCATTTTTGGTAGTTTTTTTTAACAAATTCTAATAAAACACAACTTGGCCCTTGGGGACAAAATTACTGTCACGGCCTTTGCAATTCGCCTGATACCACAATGCATAGTCAATAGTCATCATTGTCAAATTGTGCCGCCAATAGGCATGTGCTCTGTAATGGTACCCCTCCCAAGTTCTTGTATGATAGATAATTGCCTGCAGGTACAAATGCATCACTACATACAACCAAAAAGTACTATAAGCTGCAATACTGACTTGTAGGACTGTATATGCTGGTAGGGTCGTGGGTCGTTGTCTTGACTGGCCTGTTCCACTGTCGGGGAGAGAGAAGCTCCGGAACCTAGCCCGTTCATTGACTGTCCACTCTTGCTGTACCTCGACCCTAGACTGTACCCACAGAGAAACAATCACATAAGTAAACGATCACAGAGAAATAATGAAAAATTGGTCCAACAGTGGTGTACACCATACAAAATTTCTATGTCCATTTATACATCCAAGTTCCACAAGAAGTTTATAAAAAAAAATATCTTCTTAAAATGCTCTTTAGTATGAAAAAAGTGGTAATTTATATTTCTAATGAAATACTGTATGAAAAACATAAAGAGCAAAGGCAATCGTTAAAAGAAAATTAAAATTGAAACATCAAAATCAAGATTCTAATTGGTACGTAAAATGTTTATTTGAAGTCTACCCAAATTCTGTTTGGATGTAGAGCCATAGAATTTTTCAAATGGTAATCGAACATTAAAGTATTTATCAAATGGATGTTTATTGGATATCCTTGCACAAAGAACTAGGAGAAGTAAAACTCACTTGATCATGAGAGCTATGAGTGGCAGGAGATATGAGAATAAACAAGTTGAGTTCTTTAAATTGAAAGATGCAACTCACACTCAATCATGTTAAATGTAAACCGTCTAAAATGAGAATGTAAAAAATTCACTATTTACGTGCTAGCACTGCTTAGAATTGTTACTTTGATTTGTACAAGAAGTACAATACATATAACACATCAGCTTTGGTTTGAATCTAAACAAAAATATCCTTAAAGCTAAAGAACATTTCGTAGAGACGTTGTCTGAACATCTGAAAATGAAGAACACTCACACAAGCCTAGAAGCTACGCACCCCTGAAGGATCACTATGCTACTGAAGTAACAGACTGTTACAGTGTATAAATAACCCTCCCTAGTGTTGACATCTGCTACCTCTCCCCTAATACCCACTTCACAGTATATATAGCCCAAGACATAAAGTGAATACAGGTTATTGTTTGTGTTAAACTGAACTTCTGAAAGGATTATTGTTAGGGTAGCAGGCTCGCCTGGGAGAGAGGACCACTGGCACAACGACACAAAAAAATTACATCAAACACAAAAATTTGAATACTTTTCTGTCGCTGAAGTCCAGTGGGGAAGTTTGAACATGAAGACATCTTTCTTCCCAACTCCATTCCTTGGTTTAAAATACTGTCAATATCAGTTATAACATTTGTATACATATTGGGAGGTTTTGGTGTTTGATGTGTCTGAAAAGGCTGGGTTTTTTCCCATTCAGGCAAGCCTGCTATTTCAACAACCCTTTCAACTTCTAAAATAGTACAGCCATTGAGCCTTTACCCTGATATTCAATATTTTTTTGCAAAACAAAAATTTTAAAATTAAAGATTCTTCGGATGTTATTAACAACTAGTATTGGACTGATGTTCACTTTTTTTAAGTATCTTTACCAAAGGCTACTTAAAACAAAGTTTTAGTGAGGAAACATCTTGATAACTTGCCTAGAACTTGACAAAGATTTGATCCCACTCTCTGAGCTGTTTTGTCGGCTTACTTCTCGTTCAGAACTTGATCTTTCTAACCTCTTTTTACCCAGTTCGTTGAGTGTCTGTAGAAAAAATACCAATTGTTACAATTAGAATAAAACATAACTATACTAAAACATTTGGTTAGTATTTATGAAAAAATACTAACAATAAAACAATTTCCATTTTCCATATTTCTTTTTATGTTGAGTAAATTGACTAAAAACATTTCAGACAACATAGAGAGAAAAAATTAGCTGGATGCCTATAACTAATACAAAAAGTTTAGTAGGCCCCCGTGTTATAGTTCAGTCTTATTTCCAAGTGGATTTTTTTGTTGAAAATTTTTAAAATTATATGTTCTCCAAGAAACCATTATAAAGTAAGTAAAATTAATTAATAACACAAAAAAAGGGAAAAACTAAACACCTTTAGTTGAATTGTAGCTTGCCCCGAAGATGGAGAGCTGGAAAAACTCCAGTAGACTTAAGGTCCAACAGTCGACAGTGGAACCAACCACTAAAGTTGACTTCAGCTAATCTACTATACCTCGTCGGAGTTGTTGATGCTAGAGTCGCCGGCGCAGGGACTGGTGTTGTGGTGTCGCCGGTGTTGTTGCTTGGCGCGCAGCTCACTCAGTTTACGACTCACTTTGCGCTCCTCTACGCCGCCGCGCCACCTCACCTTGTCTTCCTTAACACTGCGCAGCTCCAGATACTTGAATACATGCACTCTGCCTCGCACACAGATCTGCAAACACATGTTGTTATCAAATAGACGGTTCATACGTTAGTAAAATTAAATGAATAGCTTTGTATGGAACTAACTTGTAAGAGAAAGTGCTTGTATAAGATTGTAACAAAATGATCTTTATAGGTCTATTTCACATTTAGGTTAACTCTTGCTCTATGGATCATCCCTTGACTTAATCATGCTGGTATCACATTTTACTCTTCACATGAGCACAAAAATCCAAATTGATTAGAAACAAGTTTTTTTTTTTTGGGGGGGGGGGGCACACAAATGCATTAAGTTAATTTTAAAGAAGCAAGAATGTTGGATTTGAGGTACTACAAGGCAATATAGCAAGAGCGGAGACAGACACAACTTACACTAGCAGGAGGAGAGACGAGGGGATTGTGAGACAGTTCTAGACTGACGAGAGAGTTCATGGTGCAAAGTTCTACAGGCAGATTTGAGGTACTACAAGGTAACATAGCAATAGCGGAGACAGACACAACTTACACTAGCAGGAGGAGAGACAAGGGGATTGTGAGACAGTTCTAGACTGACGAGAGAGTTCATGGTGCAAAGTTCTACAGGCAGATTTGAGGTACTACAAGGTAACATAGCAATAGCGGAGACAGACACAACTTACACTAGCAGGAGGAGAGACAAGGGGATTGTGAGACAGTTCTAGACTGACGAGAGAGTTCATGGTGCAAAGTTCTACAGGCAGATTTGAGGTACTACAAGGTAACATAGCAATAGCGGAGACAGACACAACTTACACTAGCAGGAGGAGAGACAAGGGGATTGTGAGACAGTTCTAGACTGACGAGAGAGTTCATGGTGCAAAGTTCTACAGGCAGATTTGAGGTACTACAAGGTAACATAGCAATAGCGGAGACAGACACAACTTACACTAGCAGGAGGAGAGACAAGGGGATTGTGAGACAGTTCTAGACTGACGAGAGAGTTCATGGTGCAAAGTTCTACAGGCAGATTTGAGGTACTACAAGGTAACATAGCAATAGCGGAGACAGACACAACTTACACTAGCAGGAGGAGAGACAAGGGGATTGTGAGACAGTTCTAGACTGACGAGAGAGTTCATGGTGCAAAGTTCTACAGGCAGATTTGAGGTACTACAAGGTAACATAGCAATAGCGGAGACAGACACAACTTACACTAGCAGGAGGAGAGACAAGGGGATTGTGAGACAGTTCTAGACTGACGAGAGAGTTCATGGTGCAAAGTTCTACAGGCAGATTTGAGGTACTACAAGGTAACATAGCAATAGCGGAGACAGACACAACTTACACTAGCAGGAGGAGAGACAAGGGGATTGTGAGACAGTTCTAGACTGACGAGAGAGTTCATGGTGCAAAGTTCTACAGGCAGATTTGAGGTACTACAAGGTAACATAGCAATAGCGGAGACAGGCACAACTTACACTAGCAGGAGGAGAGACAAGGGGATTGTGAGACAGTTCTAGACTGACGAGAGAGTTCATGGTGCAAAGTTCTACAGGCAGATTTGAGGTACTACAAGGTAACATAGCAATAGCGGAGACAGACACAACTTACACTAGCAGGAGGAGAGACAAGGGGATTGTGAGACAGTTCTAGACTGACGAGAGAGTTCATGGTGCAAAGTTCTACAGGCAGATTTGAGGTACTACAAGGTAATATAGCAATAGCGGAGACAGACACAACTTACACTAGCAGGAGGAGAGACAAGGGGATTGTGAGACAGTTCTAGACTGACGAGAGAGTTCATGGTGCAAAGTTCTACAGGCAGATTTGAGGTACTACAAGGTAACATAGCAATAGCGGAGACAGACACAACTTACACTAGCAGGAGGAGAGACAAGGGGATTGTGAGACAGTTCTAGACTGACGAGAGAGTTCATGGTGCAAAGTTCTACAGGCAGATTTGAGGTACTACAAGGTAATATAGCAATAGCGGAGACAGACACAACTTACACTAGCAGGAGGAGAGACAAGGGGATTGTGAGACAGTTCTAGACTGACGAGAGAGTTCATGGTGCAAAGTTCTACAGGCAGATTTGAGGTACTACAAGGTAACATAGCAATAGCGGAGACAGACACAACTTACACTAGCAGGAGGAGAGACAAGGGGATTGTGAGACAGTTCTAGACTGACGAGAGAGTTCATGGTGCAAAGTTCTACAGGCAGATTTGAGGTACTACAAGGTAATATAGCAATAGCGGAGACAGACACAACTTACACTAGCAGGAGGAGAGACAAGGGGATTGTGAGACAGTTCTAGACTGACGAGAGAGTTCATGGTGCAAAGTTCTACAGGCAGATTTGAGGTACTACAAGGTAACATAGCAATAGCGGAGACAGACACAACTTACACTAGCAGGAGGAGAGACAAGGGGATTGTGAGACAGTTCTAGACTGACGAGAGAGTTCATGGTGCAAAGTTCTACAGGCAGATTTGAGGTACTACAAGGTAATATAGCAATAGCGGAGACAGACACAACTTACACTAGCAGGAGGAGAGACAAGGGGATTGTGAGACAGTTCTAGACTGACGAGAGAGTTCATGGTGCGAAGTTCTACAGGCAGCGTGGCTATTCGATTCTCACTGAGATCCATATGTAAAAGCTTCAGGTACGTCACTTCTGCAATAACACACATGTTGCTTTATTTCTTTATATTTCACTGATTTCTTTAAATAGGGCAGTAGAGGTAGTCAATTAATAAAAGAAATCTTTCTTGAAAGATAAGGTTTGGGGCATAACAATTTTGAAGTTTAAGTAATTTTTTATGAACCTTTGTTCTGCAGTGGCATTCTATAACCCTTTCATAGTTAGCTTTTGTCGTTAAATGTTCATTGCATTTCAGAAACCGATATTTAAAAAAGCAAATTAAAGAGTGTTACATCCAATATACAGTTTCTTTATGTTTTACCAACACAATGCTTTTCCATTGTTGCTTTTAATTTTAAAAATGAAAAAAAAAACTAATCAGTAGCTACAGTGAAATTACATCGAATCAGTAACAAAAGGATTTTTGAGGTAAGAATATGTCTATATGTCAAACGGGAATGTGATCTATCATCATACCAAACTTCAACCCTGTCTGTTTAGTATTTTTCCCGTTTACTTGTCACAAACATCCATACATCCAAACTTTCTCACATATAATATTAGTAGGATGAGTTAAAATAACCCCGCTGCAGCAAACCTGCCGACTAAGCGAATTTCCATTTGTCTGAATTGATTTTCAGTTAAATATATTTTAATAACATTAGGTTTAACGAGTACCTAGGTTTGCTGCTACAAGGAAACTAATAAAGTGTGTTTTTGAGTAAAATATTGATAGCTTAGTACAAAATAAATAAATTTGCCAAGTTTGATCAAAATATATCCATAAACAAGCAAACTACAACATTTGACAATATTCTCCATAAGAATAACATGGGAATTTTAAATTTACAATTTTTTTTAATTTTCTCCGTTACTAATAATCGAACAAAAATACCTTTATATACTAAATTATTTGTTTTTTTAACCTCTTTAAAAAGGTCTAAAGAGAAATCGGGAAATTTTGTGTTTTGAGGGTCAAAAGTGAGAAAAACCAATTTTTACCCCATAAAACTCCCCGTAAAGCCCCGTTCCCATTGTCCGATCGTGCTGGTTCGCGAACTCATTCAAGTTTATCCCGCTTTACACCTTTAAACCAAATTTCATCAAAATCGGACAAAAAATACTCAAGTTATCGCGTTCACGGACGTATATATATAAGTCTATATATATATATATATATATACATATATAACAATTTTAACGAATGGTGTTTTTGGCCTCTGGGGACATCAAAATGAAAAAGTAAATCGGTCCCGGGTCTAGGTCTTACCGTGCCACCTACGGTAATAGCTACTTCCCTAAAGGGAAATTCGCTAAAATGAACTTACCAATAGGTAACTCTAACAGCAGGTTGTTCCTAACATTGAGCATCCTCAATCTCGACAGTTGCCCCATCTGTGGAGGAAGGTGAGCAATCTGGTTGCAACTAACGTCAAACTCCATGAGAGAGTTGCAGCGACCGATCTCCTCCGGTAGAGAGGTCAACCTGTTGTTGGCAACCAGCAAGATCTCCAACGGTAGCTGACACAGAGCTGCTGGTAGACTTGTCAGGTGGTTGCGACTGGAACATGTCAAATGGAGGATAAAACATGATGTCAAACTTGTCAATTAGAGAGGTCAACCTGTTGTTGGCAACCAGCAAGATCTCCAACGGTAGCTGACACAGAGCTGCTGGTAGACTTGTCAGGTGGTTGCGACTGGAACATGTCAAATGTAGGATAAAACATGATGTCAAACATGTCAATTAGAGAGGTCAACCTGTTGTTGGCAACCAGCAAGATCTCCAACGGTAGCTGACACAGAGCTGCTGGTAGACTTGTCAGGTGGTTGCGACTGGAACATGTCAAACAGAGGATAATACATGATGTCAAACATGTCAATTAGAGAGGTCAACCTGTTGTTGGCAACCAACAAGATCTCCATCGGTAGCTGACACAGTGCTGCTGGTAGACTTGTCAGGTGGTTGCGACTGGAACATGTCAAACAGAGGATAATACATGATGTCAAACATGTCAATTAGAGAGGTCAACCTGTTGTTGGCAACCAACAAGATCTCCATCGGTAGCTGACACAGTGCTGCTGGTAGACTTGTCAGGTGGTTGCGACTGGAACATGTCAAACAGAGGATAATACATGATGTCAAACATGTCAATTAGAGAGGTCAACCTGTTGTTGGCAACCAACAAGATCTCCATCGGTAGCTGACACAGTGCTGCTGGTAGACTTGTCAGGTAGTTACGACAGGAACATGTCAAGTAGAGGATATTACTTATCACTTTACTTGTCAGGTAGAGCCTTCAACAACAAGGGTTGTTCGTAAATAAAGGCATCAAACGAGCTTGATATTTAAATTTTATCCATGTGAAGGCCAAACCACACAGAGCTACTGCGGCGGACGTGAAGTTTGAAAAATCGCTCACAGTGTTAACAAATGGAACAGGTCACACAGAGCAACCAAGAGGTCGACGTGGTAGTGTCCACTTGCTGAGCAATATTTTTAGACTACCAAGGGGGATACTAACCTATCAAGCGCAGAGGTTACCTTATAGGGTAGTTGGTATCATTTTTCTTTATTTATTCTTCAACTAGTGACAACACTTTATTGATCTATTCTGATTTCAGTCTGAAGTACTTAAGCTTTAAACCATTCTTCGCCGAGCTCCAACTCTGCTACAAGATTGTAGAATTCTCCGGAAGTTTCTCTCTTCTCATTTATGGGGTGAACCCTCTAAGACCTCTTGCAGGACACATAGTATTAACACGTTGACTGCGCGCGCCGACTTTACAGGCGCTCCCCAGTGGCGGGCGAAGCCCCGGCGCGCAACCGAATCAGCGAACGCAATTGGCATTCAAATATTTCAGTCTGACGAATCACAAAAGAGCAGTGGTGACTGTGCTGCGTTACCCCGAGAGTGGATGTAGTTCACTGAAACACCCAAAGGTAGCAGCACTGCATGGATCCGTATCCAGTGTCTTTGTAATGTGGGTTGAAGAGAAAAAATCCCCGAAACCGGGACAAAAGCATTGCCAGACGGGATTTTACGGGAAATTTTAGTACCAACCTACACCAAAGTAAAGCTCGCATTCTAAGCTGGCAGGCTGGCAACGATTATAACGTCTCCGTCTGAGGCTAAGCTCACACTGACTCAATATATTACTGTTGGTCTGGTGCCGACTGTAGTCGGCGCGCGCCACCTGGGAGCGCTGGCGACGCCGACTAAAGTTGGCACGCGCAGTCAACGTGTTAAAGTATCAGTCCCTTATACTACTACTAGAACCGCTGTCCACCCACGAGACACTGTTTCGTAGGATGTCACGGTTGCACCAAGTACATTGGACGACATCTTGTTTACTACAAACAGTAGCATAGATTCGAATTGACAGCATTGTGGTAGCCGAGATGAGCTTGACCCATCCCATCCCAAAACAAGTATAGGGGTTGATCAAATCATGAAACTTATAAATGTTTAAGTTTTTACCAATACTGAGGTTAGGGTATGTCACCAAACCTCTAGGAAATTCTCCATTACTCAAGTGATAAATAATGAAACTGTCTAGGCCTCCCAGATATGAGTCATAAACCCTTTCACATGTTTACGAATCAGACAAGGTATGCTGGATAAAGGAGTGGAGATAAGACAAGTCACCTGCAAACAACTAATCCCTCAGACATGATGTTCAAACAACTTGTCAAATATGTACCTGTATCTTAGGTGGTTGAACCTGTAAAGCAAATTAAATTATGTTTGTTTTGCTAGTAATATTGTAGTTTCAGAGATTTCTTGATCTCTGCACATTTGTTTACAAAGAGCATTGTCACATTGAAACACTTTAAAATAATGTATACAATGTGAGAAAACTCTCAAAAAGTTCAAATCAATGGCATGTCCTAAAAAATTTTTTTTCCAAATCATTCTCAAAGCAGGTGATCAAATTTGACATTTACGACTAGTTGTGCCTTTAAAAAAATTGGCAGAAAACGTATTCTTCCGAAGAATGTGTTTTCAGACACTTCAAATCAAAATTAACACCAGACTTCTAAAAACAAATTGAACACCATCCGGTTCAAAAGTATACCGGCTTAAGAGACATTCTAATTAAAATTATGAGAGATTCAATATTCTGCAACAGCTAAGTTTTGATTTTTAAAACAATGATTAGAAGGTGATATAGAATAAGTATGCAATAGGTCCCTTAAGAACCAAGAGACATCAAAATGTTGGCTCAATTCATAATTTATCACTAAGTATGATCATGCCATAGGAATATTAGATTAAAATCTTCATACTGTCTTTCCTTTCGAAATAACGAATGAAGTTACAGACTAAAGAGTGTTGATTCATCTTGGACGAGACTTTGATGAGAATACCAGAAACATTGTAAATGACTTTTCAACAGCTGACTCATAACAGCGTCACAACAGCTGGGAAAATAACTAAGAAAGGTAAATAAACAAGAAAACAATCCTATGTCCGCTGCCTCACTGTCTCTTTTCAAACATGTCTCTCATTTGTGAACATTTAGTTTTTATATTGGAAAGTAATTTTTTACTATCCTCTGAAAACCAACATCATGGCATTAAATAAAAATAAGTATGTTGTTAACCAATGTTTTATACCAAATTTGAAAGTGTACTTGTTACTTTTGCTAGTTCTGTGATAAATTACATTTTTCCTCTTACTTTCTAAAACTTACCCTTCTAGTTCCTTAATATAGTATACAGGAGTTAGATATATTGCAGATACCTAAAAGGACCAAATTTTGAAATGTGTTCCTTTCATTCCAGTTTAATTCAACTTCAATAGGGTCCATTTTGCAAATTTCAACATTAGTGGCATTTTATTTACTCTTTGTCAAAGAAAACATACTACTATAACCCAGAATGCCAACCGCATGGTAAAAAGCATTAAGTGTTTTGAGAGAGCTTTGCCTGTCAATCGTAGGCAGCGCCACCAGCGTTGCTATGCTGAGTGCATGGCAACGCTGGTGGCGCTGCCTACGATTGACAGGCAAAGCTCTCTCAAAACACTTAATGCTTTTTACCATGCGGTTGGCATTCTGGGTTATAGTAATATGTTTTCTGTGTCTTTGTAAAGGAATTGTCAAAACCCTGATCTTGTTACTGTCAGTATCAACCTTTATTATTATATTTTAATTAATAATAATGTTTACTGTACATAAAATAACATTTGGTAATGGTAATTATAATTTGCTGACGGGGAAATGTAGAGAATAGTTATTTGTTTTACTAGTGTGTGAAGTGGCACTTTGCACTCGTGTTACACACTACCTTTTCCCTACAGTTACTAAAACGCATATAAATAATTAGTCTTTCAAACACTGGTACAACACGTTTTTAGGTCAGGTTAAATTCATGTGCCATACGAAATGGGAAACACTGCACCAGCTGATCGTAGTCATAGTGCTTTAGTGTTACCGTACCAACTTATTTTCAAGCGTACACGTATAACGTGCCTACTAAAAGCACACAGTTTTGTGTTGTTTGGTTAGAGTACTGGAGTGCGGCAAAAGTAAGTAAATGCAACAATTAGCTACTTTGCGTGCTATAAACAGTGCATGGAAGCCCACTTTGTCAGGTGACTGTAGGTAACATTTGGATATTTTAATTTTGATTGTAAAAGTCTAAGATTGTTTAAAATAAATAATAATAATAATAAATTAATATCATCACCTACACTGATAATACTATACAGTATCAATAAATGACTCAGCCTTCAGATATGACAGTGATATCAAGCGGTCAATATGAGTCAGTCACAGAAGAGATACATAAAAAATTGATTAGCTCTTTGAGCTACTTGACTTCCACTCTTCATATCCTTATATTCGGTTCTTCATGCTTCTGACACACATTGACCTATTGACTTAAGGTTTCTTTTTTGTTTATACACACAATTTAAACGTAACCTTTATTCAGGTGGTAAACAATTTATAAAACCTTTAACCAATAGAACTATTTAGTTTTCCTAGTTGAGGCGCTGTAGCTAATTATAACTGTTAAAAATTCGTAAGATATTCAGAAGAAAATATTATGTTGGAATGCAAATCTCTTTGACGATTGCTGAACCTAAAGCTGAAACACTACGCAAACAACTAGAATAGAAAAATTCTTTGTAGATATAAAACCAGTGTGAAACGCAACAGTGTGTTGCTATTTGTAAAAGTATGTCTAATTGAACGCACAACGTGAGCCAAAATTATGTTTTGACAGCTGAATGCTGTCACGAAGCCAAGTTTGAATTCCACATTCTCAAGCAACAGCTGACCTAAACAGTCTGGGGAAATCTGCTTGTAACCTTCCATTATTACCAGGATTACGCATATTAGCTTTGAAAATAATCCAAAATGTTTAAAGAGAATAAATTAATAACACATTGTTTACACCATACTCTTAATTAAATTTTGAATTCCTTAATTATTCTTGTATGTGTTTCTACAATACAAGCAGTTTTAACTTTTTTCAAGAGAACAGTTTATAAATTCTGATTTTGATTTCTACCGTCAACACGTAGATTAGCCCTTTGGGACACTAGATTTTCTATTGGTTTAATTATTTCTATTTTTAACAGCCTTTCCCCAGACTTGTGGTTTGCATGTGATCCGCTATGGGACTCAGCGCCCCTCTAATCCTTTTGGGGGAATTTTTCTCTTCTTAGGGCCCCCTACAAATCTTAGCCTTCTTGGGCCCCTGGATCCATTTATTGAAAAGGCCCTGGTTTACCCTATCCTTTTGAACACAAAAACCTTAATCCATAGCACCAAGTTTTCGGTGGACACTCCCACACACAGTAAAGATAGGTAAAAATAACAACGACTGACAAAAAATCTAAACATCCCAACTTCTTCCACCCTGAGCTACTTATTTTGGTGGGCTAAAATTGTCAAAAGCAAGATTAATTACAAAAGGAGGTACTAAACAAAAAAAAAACAAAAAAAAACTATAAATCACTCTTTTTACAATTTGACCTTCCATGGCCAAAATGTATAGTATAACATTAAATGCATTATTGTTAACACACACAGTGCTATAAATGTTCCATTATCGAGAATTACTTTTTAAATGATTTTGCAATTTTGGGATGAGCATATTACCTGAGGAGACCATAAAATATATTTTAATGACATTTAACACAGCCATCTCTCATTTAAACAATAACCAAAGATTTTTTCCCCCAAAAATCATTGATAGGTAGGCCTATATTTTACAACTACTGATCAGTGGAACCAACCTAAGGTCCAGGTAGACTAGGGACTGCAGGAAGACTACGGACTCAGGCACTGAACGGATAGCGTTGTGGTAACATTGAAGTTTCTCCAGGGACCAGAACTTTGTCACCTCCACAGGCAACTCCCAGAAGCGGTTTTTTGACAGATCTGAAAAAAGATATTTAATTGAGTTTTGAACACATTTATAAGGGCCAGAGTTAGTAACCATCTACAAATCACACAGTCAAATAGCCCTACACTCACACTGTTGCGTTTTCATTACACTGTTAGATGACAGTGCGGGCAGCGGAATAGTTAATCTAGATGGAAGGGGGGCAGCGACTGCGAGGGAGACAGAATGAAGTGATTGTTGAGACCAAACAACAGATGATCTCTGTATCGAGCCACAGAGCGGCCGGCCACCGGAAGTAGTAAACAGCTGATAACAGACAAGTGCCGGCGGAACTAGATAAAGAGGTTAATAATATCTACGCTCTCTCTCACTCGAGGTCGACAATGATGTTATCTACCTCATTGTTGGCCACAATAACTAATGGCGCTTTTGTGGCAACTTTCACTTCCCTTTTGTCATTTTTGAAAATGAAAATTTCTGTAATACGTAAATAGTTCAAGGAATTACTGAATGTTTGAAGAGAGTCTATGTAGAATTTGGAACGAAATTAAAATTTAACAGTAGACTAAATATAAGTAACATACAATATACTGTAAATACGAAAACGACTAGGTGTGTGCTCCTCTTATACTCCTATGATTTTAAATACAGTTACAACTCAGATAATATCGTTTTTGATCCCGATATCTGTCAATTCATTATGCTGATTATTTGTTATAAAATTTAATTACTGAAAACCATCACCGAAATTGGCTTCATGCAGTGATGAATATATTACAAAGAAATTAAATCAAAACTTAACTGTAATAAAAGCAAAGATAGCTAACTTTAAAGAAATTACGGCTTCTATGAATGAAATGGGCGATATGTGAGCATTTAGATCAACAATTATTTAAATGTTTCTTTTGAAACAATATAGTTATACGTCAGTTAAAGTTGCGATACATACAGTTTGAATAATTAATTTTTTTAATAATTTTGCAACCATTTAAATTATTTATATAAAATAATATAGTAAAAGATATTTTGAAATCAAAATTTTGCACATTACTTTTTTATAGACTTAAAAAAAATATATCAAGCTGTGATGTCTAGAAGAAAGACTGCGAACATAATAATAAAAAGCTACACAAACGTAGCCAAAGATCGTTTACAAATTGTATAACAGTGGTTTCCTGTTTCACAATGGCTCGGACCGTTCGACGATAAACATTTCGAGGGACAAATAAAACAATCGTGATAGTTTGGTGAGAATAAAACAGCGAGGCGGTGCATTGGCAAACGTTCAGACTTGAGACTGTACGTGTGTGTGTGTGTGCTTGTGTGTGTACAGCTACAGCACAGCAGCCAGTATTATAAGCTGTCCGTGCAGCGTGTATGGGCGGACTTGTTTGAGAAATTACTTGGGACCTAAATGCGACAAACCAAAACGTATACTGGCTCACCGCAAAGAGCTAAAGTAGGATACGGATGCAAAAGCATACTAATAGCATAGATGAACTTCATCTATGCTAATAGCAAGTGTGTGCTGGGTTTGGTAATAATTTGATTATCAGTTAAGCCTTTTGCAGATTACCCCAGCGCGTTTCTACAGCAGGACGCTTGATTTAACTACAAATGTGCTAATTTTGTATAGACACGATTTGAATGACAACAATAGTGTGGAAAACAGCTGCGCCTAGATTCATTGTCGCGGCGAAACGCATTCCTTGAAATCAATGACGAACGCGTTTTGACTCACGTTTTGACTGCCACGATATCATCGACAGCCAATCTTGGAAACTGTCAATCCATTATCTCTACACGGCAGCTTCTTAAAACTCTCTAACGACCACCCATCCTTCATCCACATTTTCTTTGTTTAAAATTAAGGTTTGTGTGTTGCGTTAATGTGTTACTTGTGTGTTTAGTAAAAAGTGAATTATATATTTTATAATTATTATGGTTTTTCTTGAGTGACATTTACGATTGTTTGTCGTTTTCTGCTACTAAGTTGCCAGAAAATGCCCGATTCGCGTACTTATCTTGATTGTTCCCTTCTCCTCATAAAATGGAGTCAAATTCTAGATCCAGAAAAGACGTGAAACTACTTGTTTCTTATCGTCTACAAAGCCGAGGTTTTGTTTGCAAAGAGTGGGTATAACGTGCCTATTCAGTGTACATAAATAAAACATTTGCCAATTGATGGTTTCAGGCACATTTCCATTCATACTAAATCAAGGTAATTGCAATTAACCCAATAGTTACCGTATGCTTTGAAATAGAATAAAATGGCTATAGGTACCTTTTCCATTTTGATTGGAGGTTTGTACAAACTGAATAATGTCCTCTCAAAACTTAAACCACGGTTAGGTTATGCACAAATTGGGTGTGTCCCTGAACTCAAGTATTTTAAATAGCGTTCAGAGGCGCTCTCACATTACTAGGGTATGCATTTTGTGGAAATCAAAACTCGTGTTATCACATTCAACTTAAGATTCAATACCACACAGGTTCTCATCGTCGAAATTTAAATCCCCGGAGACATTTAGTTTACAGAACACGAGAACAAGTTATGTTCTAAACTGTAGGAAAACGTAAGTTGGAACAAGGCAACGATAGATGTTTTCATGGTCAAAGCCCGGCCCAGATTGGCGCTATAGCGGGAGAATGCTTCGTGTCGCTGTGAGGGGTCCGGTCCGTTGCTATTTCCGGGCCGCAATGAATGAAATATGCGAGGGACCCTCTCTGGCTCACTCGCTCTTATAACGTCTTGTGTCTTGTGTACAACCGCCGTGGTACAGACAAGAAGTACGCATTGCTGGTACCTCAATAAATAATAATGCTAAATGAAACATAATCTCTAATAGATCCATCGATCTATCGTCATTGAGGATCAGCTGAAGGAGGAATATAATTATAATATGTTTATTCGTAGGTTTGAAAACTCCATGATCCTTTGAGAAGTGTAGTTATCAGCTAACTTCAGGTTCAGGCTAGGCCCTAGAAGTTTATGCTGAGTAAATTAGATTCTGTACTTCATAATGACTTGTTTCGACAGAGCGAGAACATACTGCTCGTAATTTCTCCTAGGGCTGTTTATTAAAATATTACAAAATACCACCCATAACCTCGCTCGTTCGAACTCATCCACATACAGAAGATCTCTTCTATAGTTATACGTCAGAAGGACCATCACTTTTAAGGTATATCTTTGATATTCTCAGTCAGCTGTTGGATATTATAACCGACGAGTCCAGCAGATCCTTTTACAGACCGCTGTTGCATTATTCAAACCAACGTCGTCAACGGAAGAGCAGACGAAACACTCGAGACCTCCTCAACCGCCAACCGTCACTTGGTCAACCACAAGATTTGCTCATAGTCATAAGACACCCTACTATTACGACATTTATTCATTAGTTACAATTGTAGTGGTGATGACCACGGCCTCATGAATATAACAAACCCCAAGGATTATACAACTTGCATATATAGCTTGATACATTACAGTATTGCAATGTGTAAGTACAATGGAATGAGACGATCAATATAGCTTTGTTACTTATTATGACGAGTAAGAAGAACATGAGTAAAAGTAAATCTGACATGAAGACTGAAAGTTATTGGCTGGATAGAAACAGACTTAGAGTACAGAGCAGATTTAAAAATTAACTTGAAATAAATCAAATACAAAACAATGCTTTGTCTCTAGAATATAGATGCGATACTGAGAAACGTCTATTGGTTCGAAACTGGATCCAGCTGTCCTTGGTCATTGGACTTAAAATATGCACGTAGTAATGTATTTGTTTCTGTACTACTGTAATCTTACTAATATTATAAATGTGAAAGTTTCTGTTTGTTTGAAGTTAAATCACGCATTAACTACTGGACGGATTGGGCTGAAATTTGGCATGATGATAGGTCACATTCCCGATTCACATATAGGCATATTCTTATGTCAAAAATCCTTTCGGGCTCCACCCCAGTGGCTCCGTAGTTCCCCATGTTAACCTTTTGAGTATTCATATTAAAAGGGAATTAAAGAATAGTCAGCTGTTTCAACTAAAAAAGTTGGTTCTATGATATGCAAAGGCATTAAAAAGTTATAAGATTTACCAACAGGGAGCAGCACTATTATTTTTTTGCATTTATGAGAACAGCTAATTTGAACTAAGCAGCAACAAAATACTGTGATACGCAATGAGAACTGCCAAAGTAGCATTGTTTATGTTTTTAATTGCATGAATAACTTTTTATAATTTGCGAATTGTTTAAAGTTTATTTTTCTCTATTGTTTAGGGGAAGTGGTTGAACGTTATGGCTATGGTAGATGTGTAATACTGTATAATAAGTTACTGTAAATTTAAAGAAGCAAATTTTATCAAACTGTGTCCTCCTCATTGCAAACGCAAAGCTCGAGTATAACTACTGCAATAAGCATTTTATACAACCTTATATGCCAACCCTGTACGAAGGACGGGTACTCTGCTAGTGAGATTATAAAATTATGATAATTCAAAACAGGCGGCGCTACAAATCCAACCACACGACAGTAAACAAGATATGTTGAAGAATTTTCCTTGAAGCTCACTATTTAAGCGCATTCCTGGTTCAAGAATAATTAGCACGAATTAGTGGCAATTACAAGAAATGTCAGGAGGCCCTAGGAGGTCAATCGATGCAGTCGTTCCAGTCGCCCTTTGCTAATTGTCACACCAAATGTCACTTTTGCCGGCCAACTGGGTCACTGCAACTAAGTGCCTTTATATTTTACAATAGCAATAACAAATGGGAAGTCAAAACAACGATTTTTAAGTGTATTACACCATACAAACTGTTTATGTTCAAACTGTTCACATGTTCAAACTGCCTTATTAAATTTCAGCTAAAATATTGTGGATCATATTTTATTGTAAGATTCATCTAGACAGCGTCGTTGTTTGCAATTTATTTCTTGTTAGCTGCCTTTGAAACTTCTTGAAAAAATATCGACAATTTTATTAATGCTTGTCCTCTGGTGTTTTGACCAACTAATTAAATATTGTATATC